GTGGGTTAGCCTAATATTCTAATTAATGTGTTTTAGCACCATAAGCTTATATGAGCCTAATAAGCTCATTTGAACTCATTTGTTTCATCTCCCTTGAGTGGAAAAATCTGGTGAATTCATTTTAGAGAGAGAGGGAGCCCAATTCTAGAGAGAGAAAGTGAGAGATTAAAGAGAAATTGAAGGCTATAGCTTGAATTGATCAAAGATTATGCTAGAACAAGAGTGATTCAAGACTCTAGGTAAGATTACAACCTCTAAATTGTGTAACTAAGTCATTTAACATGAATTTCTTCAAGATTATGAGTTTGATGTGTATATTGAGCTTAGAACAGAGATTTGAGTTACAATTCATGCATGCATGCATGTACATTTTCTCACAAATTGAGCATGAACTCCAAGAATTCTCTCATGCATGTTTGAAATTCATCTTTATTTGGGGAAATTATCAAGTTTGAAGTTGTTTTGTGGTGTTTGATCATGTTTTGAGAAGTTTGATACAAGAAAAATTCATGCATGTTGTGTTCATAAACATTCATCATGTTTTAAGTTGAAATTGTGAGTTTCTAACAAACTCTTGGGCCATGATTTTATGAAATGATCCTAAATTCTTCATGTTTTACTAATTTACTTTGTTATCTCAAGTTTTGGGGCCCAAGAGATATGTTTTGAAGGTTGGAATTCGAGTTTGAGCTTGAAGGTGTAATCTGGAAATTCCAGAATTTGCATCTATGCTTGAGCGTGGGAGTTCATGCTTGAGCGACCACTCTGAGTGCGTGCACTCCGCTCGAGCGACCAAAAGTCCGCTCGAACGTGAATTACAAGCTTCCAGAAGTTTCATGTCTTTTACAGATCGCTCAAGCGAAGGAATGTGCACTCGAGCGACCCTTCACATTTTGCATGTCCGCTCGAGCGAGGAAATCTACGCTCGAGCGTAGACCTTATTTTCAGAAAATTTGACTAAGTGTTCCAAGGCATGTGTTTGGCATCCTCATTGCATCTTAGGCATTCCTAAGCCTTAATTAAGCCATAGTAATGAGGTTATGGATTAGAAACACACTAAGGCAAGAATGTACTAAGTCAAGGAATTGCAAGTGTGTGTGTGTTAGACAATGTGATAAGAAATAACAAGAACCAACGTAATGAAAGCTAAGCTGTGTTGGCCACATGAATGTGTAATAATAAGACATGCTTGTGTTACGTATTTTGTGATTGTAGGTCAAGACTCGGGGATTGATTGACCATTTACGGGAACCACTGTGAGTAACTTTTCTGTAAAGATATGTTGACATGAATTATGTTCCAAATGAAATGTGATAAGCTATGATTTCTGAAATGATATATGTTTACGTGAACAAACATCCTAAGTTTGAAATCTATTATGGCATCCATAGATAGTCCCAAGTCATGGGGGACGGCATGAAAATGCGGGTCCATATCATACAAGTAATTACGAGATCTCGTTAGTCATTTCATTGTGGTGATATGTGTTTAATCGGTATCCGGAACCGATTACTCTAGTCGGAAGACGTTCTGTGACGTGTTCTATAGGATGTACCATTATTATGTTCTGATATGAAAATGATTATACTCTGGTCTATTTTCTGCTTATGATATATTCGGATTTCGTTCACTAACCCCTTTACCTTAATGTTATTCATTGGGCTTTAGCTCACTGTGTGTATATATATGTATAGGTGAGCATTCTGGAGCCCGAGCCTGACGGCTTTTGTCTGGATCTGTGTTCTGTTGTCAACCAACCATTGTGTCTCACGTGGAGGTTCCCGAAGTGTCCTGTGTTCAAGTTCTGTTGGTTCTATGTATATGTATAACTTGTTTTAATTCTATTGGTTGGACTTAAAAATATTGTAATGTGTGTGGGTATAATGTATGATTGACTACCGATTATTGTATATAAAGTTTTTAAATATTCCGTTTCATATAAGTCAGCACAGTTTATTGGACAACTATATTTATGTATTTTCTTCTGCTAGCCCCTTAATTTTGTTAATCTGTTCATAGGCCTTCGGTAGTCTAAGGATTACTGGCCGGTTACGATGCTAAACCTATGGGGCGGGTTTGGGTTGTGACAATGGAATTTGGGCCTGAAGTTTTTGGTAGATTCTAGAGTGGCTCATCGTCGTGGATTTGACATCAGCGTTGTGGATTCAACATTGAGTAAAACAATTCCGAGGTAAAGACAAGGTTGGAAGAGGCATATAGGAGTCGGTTCAATTCAGGCGTGGATTCGTTAGGGAATTGAGAGTACACTTGTATAATTTCTTTATGTCTTCTTAGTGGATTGTTTTGTGACTTTTGCCCGTGATTTTTTTATCACAATTGGAGGCGCTCCAATTGTGATTTTTTCACGTAAAATCGTTGTGCCGATTTGTCTTTGGTTGTTTGATTGAGATTGTTATTTACTGCTTAAAATTGATACATAATCACAAATCAATATTTTGGGGATTTCAAGATTTTTCATGACTTATATGTACCAAGTAATGGAACTATTTGGATATATATCTCTTTGATTAGTGGCGGAGTTAAAAAATTAAATTAGAAGTAACACTTATTACTTTCAATTTCTAAATAAGAAGATAATAATAATTTTTGAATTAATATTAAGTATAAAAATTTAAATTAATTATTACAAAAATATTTCACCGAAAATTTTATAAGTAAAATTAAAATGAATGTATTACGTGTAACTAGTGTATTATGAATAATGCAAAAAAAAAATCATATATTTAAATCTTAAAATAAATTATATAATAGTAAGATAAATAAATAAAAAATTATAAGATTTAAGTAAAATTTCATACAACAGTGATATCGTGTCATCATTAATATATGATATCATTAACCAATAGTAAAGTAACATATGAAGGGTAAACTCTACATGTAAATTTAACTAAATTAACACTCTAGTGAAATTAATTATATTTGCATGTCAATAATGATAGATATTACCTTTATATTACTATTTTTTTCACATAATTTTCATACATAAAAATATAATTTGTTGTAGTCTCTTATTTTCAATAAAACAATTATTGTTGTTCTCATAAATTTAAAAATACCATTGACATTTTATTCTAAATATCATTTTTGTTTAAAATTTTATTTATATACATATGTTAAAAAAAATGAAAATCCAAAACCCAGGGGGCACGTGACCCCTTGGCCTCCATGTGGCTCCGTCACTGTTTGTGATTGTTCCTCATGAGAGGAGGAAAAAAAAAAATCAATAATATATATATATATATATATATATATATATATGCAATCCAATTTTATTTCTCATAACTACATATGAACAATTAAATTCAAATTGTTCGAGTATTAGAGTTGGAATGGGACCATTGAGTTTTAATGTGATTAGAGTTGCCATAATTATACAATAAATTTGGGAATTCAAATTTAGCCACTCAAATTTGTTTGGGCAGATAATTGTGTAGTGAAAATTAAATTTGTATAGTATGAAATTCATATGTAAAATAAACATGAATTACAAAATAATAATTTTAAATAATTATTAAATACTAAATTTGAGTATAGTATTACTGCTAATTATAATGCCCTTTCCAAGATATTTTTTGACCATTTGGAAATGGATAGTGGGAATGAGATATTTTTTGACCATTTGGAAATGGATAGTGGGAATGGATGTGGCTATATATTTGACTTTTAAATTTGTCAATGAAGAATAAAGTAAATGACAAAAAAATAATTAAAAATTCAGATGTTGTATATTTAAATTTTTTATTGTGAGATTACATGCACTATAAATAAATATTAGTCATTGATTTTAAATTATAAATTGTTTCTTAAATTATTTGTTTTTACTGTAAAACTGCTCCTTATATGCAATTATTTGTATAGGTCTCTAAACAAAAAGTAGACTTCTGGACAAATATATATAGTCGTTTTCTTATCAATTTTCTAATTAAAAAAAGAGAAAGAGAGAGAGAGAGCGCTATGAGGTTAATTTCGTAAAAAGATGATACTATGCATCCATATATGACCATGTCTAAGTCATCTCTTTCCAAAAGAAGCATCCAATGAAATTTCACTCATGACCGTACAACATTATCTTCGAAATATTTGAATTTGGTCGAGTGGTCGAATAGTCATATTTTAGATGTGATAAAAGAAAACTCATAAAATTGAATTGGTAGAACAACGATGACTCGTTTAATTGTAATATAATTTTACTAACAAATTAATATCTTATAATATTGACAAGAAAAAAAAAATTACAAGATATTACTCACCCAACTAAATTTAATTGGGCTTGAGTTATTTCATATCTTAACAATTGAAAATTAATTTTTAAAAATTCTGAAGTTAAGATTCAAACTCAATACTTTATGAGCATGTTTGATTGAGTGGATTAGAGCATGGGATTGAGATTATTAATCCGTGTGCCCAATTATCCTATGTTTGTTTTAACATTTTGATTTAGGATTATTAATCCAATGGATAATTAATCCAACAAATTTTGTGTTAAAGAGGTGATGTGATTTAAATAAGATGATGTGACTTAAATAGGATAGTGACTTTTTGACTTTTTGTATTATTTAGGTTATGCCAAACTTGACCTAAGTTTAATTGGGCTTGAGTTATTTCATATCTTAACAATTGAAAATTAATTTTTAAAAATTCTGAAGTTAAGATTCAAACTCAATACCTTATAAGTCTCAATTTTTTATTGATTAATCAACTCGTTAGAGTTAGCTAACGAGTTAGCCGTTCCACACGTTTGGGAAGCATCCGATGGTGGTGAAAGACCGCCATTCGTTCATTGAACTTTCAAACTAAAGTGTTCCATTATTTTCTACTTTAATAATTTCAAGCTCCATTCTTTACATTATATATAGGTCATTGCCATACCCTCAAATCAATCACCACCACCAACACTACCATTTCCTTCAAGTTCAATCCCATTTAGTTAACAACCAAAACCTCTCTCTCTCTCTCTTCAAAACAGTCCCTCTAGATAAATGGCAGAGAAGGAGCAGCAAGCCTATCATCCTCCGGCAAACAATGGCTATTCCCGAAATGATGAAGAAGCACAGGCAGCAGAAGCTGAAAAGCTTCGCCTCAAGAAACGCAAGCGTTTGACATTTTTCGTTATCTTCATGGTGTCTCAAATCGTTATTGGAATTGTGATTGGTTTAACAATAATGAAAGTCAAAAATCCCAAGTTCCGGGTGAGATCAGCCACATTCGAGACCTTTAATGTGTCAAACTCAAACTCTTCATTTAACATGACGATGAATGCTCAACTTGGTGTCAAAAACCCCAATTTTGGCCCCTATAAATTTCGCAACACCACTGTCAAATTCTACTACAAGGAAACACTAGTTGGGACTGCTATTGTTTCCAAGTCGAAAGCCGGTCTGAAAACAACCAAGAAGTTTGATGTTACAGTGGACCTCATCGCACCAATTAGCCTAGCAAGCGATGCACAATTGGCAAGTGATATAAGTATTGGGTTGTTGCCTCTGAGAAGTCAATCTGAACTGAGTGGAAAAGTGGAGCTAATGTTGATAATGAAGAAGAAGAAGACTACCCAAATGAATTGCACCATGAACGTCAATATCAAGTCTCAGCAGCTCCAAGATGTGATGTGCAAGTGATACAATATACATATATTTCATGATTTGTGTTTGAATATTTATTTTCAGCAAAGATATGTAGTTTTTGATTACCGAGGGGGATGGTATCTGTTGATAATATAGGCCCTCTCAGATGCTTATTATTCTTTGTTTTGATGCTTCACGCATAGTTTCATATTTATTGTTTGATTTCCTTCTGCTAGTTAAGAGTGTTTCAAGTCAGTTTTTTTTTTTCGATTTATTGCATGTGATTTTATTTCCAAATTTATACCATGGCTAATTAATTAAGTGTCCATACGTATATATATAATATATATTTGCTTGTCTGTCATTTGGGATAATATAAAGAAGATGAAGAATCATGGAGGTTCAAAGTATTGCATGTGGCTTGCCAAAAAAAAGTATTTTTTTTTTCTTTTTCAACCTGTGAAAAAGACAGCAAACAACTTTCTCTCTCTCTCTATGTATATGTATCTTTTTTTTTATTCTTTGAATTAGTTTCCCTCTCCAATAATTATATGGTCAAGAGTGGCCTTCTTTTATTTTTGTCATTTCACAATCATCCAAATCAGTGAATCTAAAGCCATACCTATAAGATCATCATCCTATATTTTGAGTTCAATAAGAATTCCCAATGGCACAAATCCAAATTTTAGTGTAAAATGAAAAATGTTTGAATGTAGCCCAATGCACATGGCATGATGTATGATCATCAAGTGAAATGGAATTATAAGACTTGAGAAGAAAAGAAATAAATAAATAAATACATAAATAAATAAATAAAATGTCATGTTTCTCTCCCCGTGAATTAGAATGGACCATCTAGAAATGTTGGCAATTCCAGGAACTTAGGGGATGAACTTTGGGTCCTCAACAATGACCTGTAACGTAACTTGAAAACAACCTCAACTTAACCCCTTTCTAGTAGGGATCGACAATCAAGTTGTGATGGATCTATTCTCAACCTACAACATCGAGCTAAATCATTTCAGTAATTTCATTTGTGATTGTATATATCTTCTAAACTAGCTCGGGACAATTGACATTTAGCATAACCTTTGGCGAGGACCAGAAGTACGTAGACATCCTAGCAAATGAAAGGTTCAACAGACACTAGGTTCACCGTCTTCTCCATGGCATTGAATTATATTTCATTTCAACTATTTGATGCTGGGGGGATTAATACCCAGTGCCATAAACTATTAACTCTTTTTTCTATGAAGCACCCCATTTTACTATCCCCACCCCCCCCTCCCCCCAAAAAAAAAAAAGAAGAAGAAAAAGAAGGATAAACTACCAATAAGTTCTAATAGTTGGATTTAATTCCCATCAAGTTCTGTCGAAAATAATTCCTAATAAAATTGTCGTTAAAAATAATTTTTTTGCATATGTCGCTATGAATTGACAATTAGTGACTTTTTTGTCATGATTTTTATAAGTGTTGCTAAAACTTAAAATTAGTGACTTTTTTTGTGACAAATTTTTCAAACTATCACTGAAAATCAAAATTAGTGACGATTTTTTTAAATTGTCGCTAAAACTTATAATTAGTAACATTTTTGTGACAATTTTTAAACTGTTATTGAAAATTGATAATTAGTGATGTTTTTTAATAATATTTGATGAAAAACGATACTAATTAACATAGAACCTATTGGGCAATAAATTTACCTATTAAGACCTATACATAAGTCCCAAAAAAAAAAAATTAACCGTTCAACTCGACAATTTTACGATTCCATGTGAAGTTTTATTAATGATCAGCTATATTCATCTTCTAAGCCCATGTTTATAGATCATCAATTATAGCCACACAATTATATTATATTTATCAGAAATGATAGACTCCCTTTTTTCTTGACCCCCACAACCTCCACATACATATGTCAGTGAGTGAATAGGAGGAAAAAAAATAAAAAACAAAAAGTTGACCAATCCCAATATATTGGGGGTGATGGGGGTAAAAGAAAAAAGGGACTTCAATCTTTTTCCTATATTTATTTTTATCATTTATTTCTTTGATGATGAATTACATGGGTTAATTATCAGATTGATCTTACGTTTGTTTTGATTAATACATTTGTTCCTAAAACGCGATGCAGGAAATTATTTTGATTGGATGATCCAGCCCATGTTCGAACAGGATGGTCCACCCCACAGGAGGTCCTTTTTAATTTGAACTATGCGATTTTCCAACCCAATCTATACATACATATGGACCCAAGACACTGGATTCTGACATGGCCCATTGAGGCACTTTCTTCGTTGTAGCAAGTAGGGCTGCAATTTGAACAGGATCAATCTAGGTAATTTGAGTCTAATTCAAAAAAAAATTTAAAAGTTTGAATAAAATGTTTTTAAATTCGGTATAGGTTTGAGCAAAAATTCATAAGTCTGATTTAAATTTGGAAAAGCTTAGGTAAAGATAGCAAACAACCCGAGCAACATGAAACCCAAATTATATATATATAAATTATAAACCATGAGATGATATTAAAATAATTTAAATCGTTAAATCATATTCAATATATATTATATACATAGTAACAAAACACAAAATCTTGCTGAGAGCTGAATTTACTTCAGCTCAATGGATCGAGCAGGTTTGGAGCCATGGTTGGGGCTTGGGCCGAGGTCTTAGCTCGAATGAAATGAGGCCGTGTACTCGACCGGTGTCTTTGCATGATCAGATGGAGGGCATTCATCTGACCGAGATCCTACTCTGGCCAAGTCAAGCTTGTACGTCTAACAAAGATGAAGTGTCCTTGGTAAATTGGGCTTAACCGAGCAAAGAGTTGATCGGATGTGCGAGCACGGTTGGGCGTAGCTAGGCTGGAGTGGTCAATCAAGTAGCGCAATCTTGAAGACGAACACCATACCGAACTAAAGGTAACCCGGTCGAAGTTGATACGTGGGCCAATCGAACTGCAGGAAGGAGAATCTATAATCCATATGCGTCAATACCGTTAGGTAGTTTTGGCATTAGTGTTTGACAGTATTTGTGCCTACACGTGGAGGGAGACAAGAGGGAAGTACACACCCTCGTGTCCAAGAAAGGACAAGCAAGGTGGTGCTCGCAGAAATTATATAAGCGACGCGACGCCACCATGCACAGGTCTGGAGTTCTTGTTATCAAAGCTACCTATATTTTGTTTCCTCTCTCTCTTTCTTCTTCTCTAAGTGTGCTAACTTGAGCATCAGAGAGATTTTCCGGCTACACACCTATCGGGTAGCTCACCATCTTTCTATTCTCAAGTTGAGCGACGTTACTTGGAGCAGCGTAGAGCTTGGATACGAGGAGTACGGAGAGCGACGAATATTTCTTCCTGGCACACTTATATTTTTTTTATTCACTCATAAATTATAAAGGCCACCATAGTGGCATCTCTTTTATATTATATAAATTATTTATTTTGATGTTATTAATGGTTTTCTTAAAAAAAAAAATTATATAAATAGAGTTTAATTTTAACAAATTAATAATTCAGCTGGAAAAAAAAAATGAAACTTATGTGCCATTTGGACAATTCGAGCAACAGGGGCATTTCAGGTTTAACTTTTTTTTCTTTGTTTTTTTTTATCAGATTTCAGGTTTAACTTGGTTTAGGCTTTGACAGACAATCACGGGTTACAATTTAAGGTTAAGGGGACTTGGTCAAATCTTAATACAACTTCGGTTGAATTTGGATAATATCTCAACCCGTCTGAAACTCCTGAATTGCACCCTTAATAGCAAGTATGAAATCTAAAAAAGAAAAAGAGTAATAATAATAATAATAATAATAGTAGTAGTAGTAGTAGTAGTAGTAGTAGTAGTAGTAGTAGTAGTAGTAATAAAAATACAAGACAAATTACCAATACACTTGAAATTTATTTAAAATATGAATTGTCTCTTATGATTTGAAAAATAATAAATACCTCATTGTCAATATTTTTTATTTAACAGAATAACCTGAAAAAGTAAAATTTCTAAAAACAATGTTAATCTCTAAATTATTAATTGAAATAAATTTATATTATCATTAAACATTATTAATTGACTTAATAATTTATTAATAAAATGATTATTTGTTATGAAATTAGAAATTAGAAGAGGTGTGATGTAATTTTCAGAATCACATAAGACAATTCGTATTTTAAGCAAACATTAAGGCCACGCTTGCGGATTCTGCCCGATCCACATATAGAGGAGGCACTTTGTATGAGTCTCAGGATTAGTCTAAGTGCGTATAAATTAACTCAAACATCCAATCATTGAAAAAAAAAAAAAAAAAAAGAGGAGGGGGGGCATATTTGTAATTTATCCCAATCCATAAATTAATCCTAAACAATTGGGTATTAAACAAACAAAAAATGGTTGAAAAATCGTCTTCTTATTTTTGTAGTAGTTAAAGTCGGAAAATTAATTATCTAAAAAATTTAAGTATTACAAAAACAAAAAAATGTTATAGATCCTAAAAAAATTATGCACAAATACTCACATAGATGTGAGACCCATTCATGTGGGTCCCATACTCATTTGAGCATCTGTATTAATTTTGTTTTATTTTTGAATTAGGCTTATTTTGGAAAGTGGCCTTTTTTTGATCTATTGATTTTTTTTTGAAAAAACGTGTAAAAAATAAGAGAGATGATATGATCCAAATAAGTCAATAAGTCAATAAACCGACTTTTTTTTCTAGTTAGTTATTTTAGTTATAGTCATCATATTTTAGTCACTCTAATGGGACAACTATTACAATAATTATTTTAACAAAAATTCTTCAATACTAACTACATTTGAAAAATCTTGTGAGACACTTTAAAAAAATGTGTACATAGATAAGTAAAATAAATAGTAGAATTGGAATATATAGATAAAAAAAAGAATTAGATACAATAAATAAATATCATTTTAATATTTTAGTTAGTAAAAAATAAAGAGTGTAATTGGAATTACTCTTAATTGATAGATCAATTATTGTTTCTAGCCTATTGAAAATTTTATGGAGGGTAATGTTAAGGACATCAAATTTTTTACT